GATCCCTCTCCTACTGCTTTCACGCTCACCAAATAGGAAAAAATCAAAAGGAGGAAGATACAGCTGTTTTGAAACGCCATTTGAGGGTAAATCTGCTTTTTGTTCGACACTTTACATTTCAAAACAAAGGAAATTTGTTCCTCTTTTTGATTCAGGCGGTATATTTTTAAATTGCGCTTGCGTAAAAAAGATATCGCCCGAGACGCTTCGCTCGGTTGTGTTTTGAACAAAAACGCCTTGTTAATTTCACGCAACCGCTCGGAGAAAAGGTTAAAATGACGAGTTAGAAAATTAGCGAAATAGAAAGCCACAATATTATAGTTTAATATTTCAGAGGTACATTGAGTGCACGATGGTAAAATGTTCGAAAATTACACTCGATTTGAGTGGGGCGTTGAAGTGGGCGTGGTCACTATATTCATGTTAAGACTATTTGTAACCCGTGAGTCTGATATGTTAAACCAGGGAGGGATGCTGTCCTCGATCTCGGTAGACAGACTTAAACAACGGCCGTTTCCAAATTTTCATGCAATGTAATCGGTTTAGAATTGAAAAGAATTGACGTAATCGTCATTTATGAGACGGTAGATACAATTTGTGGAGATGGCCGACTCTTCTTAAGTGAAATGAAATAATAATAAAAAATAAACAGTTTTATCAGTTCAGAAACTGTATAGTCATCCTTGTTGAACTGCTTTTGTAAAATCACGAACAGCCAAGTTATAAAAAAATATTAGTTAAACCTAAATTAACAATTCAGTGTAGTTCACGTAGAACTTAACAAGCCCAAAGACTACCTCATATGGGCTGTACTTATTTTGCCTCCACAAGTCAACCAGGCACACGAAGAGATGATATCTTGGCGCGTTGGCCAGACAGAGCCACTTTCCAGTTAATGAACACCAATAAGCTTACAAAGGTTTACACCATTGACTTAAATCAAATGCACCAAAGCCGGGCACAAAAACCCCTTTAAAACCAGCAGGTGGATAAAATGGGGCATTTGTACGCACGACCAAGGCCTTACCACCCCCCCCCCGGGGTTTAGGGGTACAGTATCCTCTATATAACACGGTATACAAGAATAGATAGGAAATAAGCACATCATTAAGTAACACCTGTGAACATCGCCATCTTTCAGTAAAAAAATAATAAAAAAAATAATTAAAAAAAAGTAAATAAATAAATGAATTCAAGCGAGAACGTAACCTCACAAGTTTACACTTCGAAGGCCGAGCCGAGACTATCTCACAGTACTAACGACTCCAAATCGCAAACTGCAATCCCATCTGCGTGCTGGCAAAATAGCAATTTATGCTAATTACGATTATCATTAATTACACATTGTAATGATGGTGGTCGTACAGATCACCAAAAAATCAAGATTCATTCGAAGGCACTCTCAAAAACGTTTTATTTTCTATGGTCTCGGTTACAAACTCTATCCAAAAAAAGAACCTCGTGAACTGAATCGAATTGAAATGAACTCTGTGGAAAACAAAAACATCCGTTGAACTTCCAAAAACTTTATTCTTGAGTGAGATAGACAGTTCTATACTTTTTCGAGATTTTGTAGATTCTATTCTGTACAACTAGATACAAGAAAAGCGCGCGAAGAGCGAAATTTCGATCTCAGAAGTTAGGTCAAGCGATTACGTGATCCGATAAGAGAAAGGAACAAATTTCGTGCAAAATTCTTTTTTCAAAAGCTCCTTTAAAAGTTGTCAATAAATACTCCTAGGAAATAATTTTCTCGTCTCCTCACCAAGCAATAGTCATTTTGTTTGTTTCCAAAGGTTACATTCATCTTGTAGTACAATAGTCTTCAACTTGAAAACGGAGTTGAGGCCTTGTTTTTATCAACAGCTTCATAGCTGGTTTGTGAAAACCTTGATATTAGATATTTAGACATGGATTCAGGGTTCTGCACTTGTGTTGCGTTTTTTGTGTTTTGGTCACTCTCTGCAAGGAAGAAAAATAATAACATTACCTCTCTAAAAAAAAAACAATTGACGGTAGTCATTTTTTTCCTTCTAGGAGACTACAGATGGTTTTGTTACAAGATGCACGGTGCTTATAGGTTCAGTGAGCGTGGGCTTCCTGTGTACCCTAATGGGGGAATTTGTCCAGTCCTTTCGAAACTGCAAGGTCATGAAAGATACGCTTGAAGTTTGTCTCTCCCAGGTAAGGTAAATGGGAGGGCGTTACTTGAGTCGCTGTGAAAAGCTATCAAGGCCTCCACCGTCCCACATGACGAAGCTGCTGATTTAAAAGAGAGGTTCTAATGTTCTTTTGATCTCCTCTGGATACCTCTGGTGATCTATATTAAGTAAAACAAATGGCAAAGTAAGATTTCATTTCACTCATTTTTAAAAAAACAGAGACGTTTAAAATAACATTTAGGACTACTAAGAAAATCACTTATAATGGATATGGTATTGTCTGCTTTACCTAATATAAGAGAATTAAAGCAAAATTAGGAAAACTGAAAACTTAACGCCTCATAGTGCTTGGGGGCTAAAAGAGTTTCTTTTTATGAGATTTCAAGTAAACTAAACCAGTTTTTCCCCTATCTGCCCTTCTTGTCTGCCGGCAAATAGCTGCTACAGAACATTTTACTTGAAGCTTTTACTTGGTCAGTCGTGGGTGATTCTTGATCCGTTTAGCCATGTACATGAAAAAAGTTACCAAACTTTTTCTTTGACGGCAGCTTCAGGTCTGTCCTGTGATAGATCTAGACTAGAGATCAAGTCAATGATAAAATCGTCAGTAATTCAAACACAAATTAGCCGAACACTTGGAGGTTTCTTTGACGCTGATATGGAAAAGCAATGTGTCGGGTGAAAGTCCTTTTCACAAATTGTTCAACCATAATCGGGGAATTCAATTATGTTCATTACTGTCTAAGCAACAACGGAAGAAATATAGATGTATAGATTCATCACAGTGAGTTTCCTCAACAACGAAGAAACCTCGAAACAAGTCAAACAATTTAAAAAATTCATTAGAATAACTTTTTTTTAAAAACTGATGCTTGTGTTCAAGTTAACAGTCAAGTTAAAAATAGTCGTGCGGAATACTACGTCCGCGGCACGACACATCCTAACTTAAATATGCGACGACATTGGTCCACCAAGGGGGAAAACAATAGTGTCCAGACTTCCTTTCCACAAAACACTGATAATATCCCCTGAAATACCTCCTCCCCCCCCCCCCCCCGATCATGGGCTAAATCATAACTTCACACGTTATTCAACGTGAATCATGGTTTATAACCACGATTTTACGGTAAGACACTTAAATGATTAACTAATGTAGTACGGAAAAACTTTATTGATAGTGATAAACATAGTTGCTCCAATTACACCTAGCTCTGGCAGCTAGTCAAAAGCTGTTAAAATGTTAATTAGTACTTTATAATAATGACAATGATGACAATAGTACACCATAAACCTGTCATACAACTCGGAATGTAACTGATTAAGATATCTTTTCTAAAGTACATCGAACTTGAAATTGTTAACTTATCAACGTTTTATTCCTTGAGAGTAACCATAAGTTTTCCAGTTCACTTAAACCGTACGAATTCATTTCAATAACTGTGCATTAACAAACTAATAGACCTCAGCAAGGAAAGGACAATTCATCTCAACATTCGCTTTATCGTATTTAGCTTGTTGACCTGAAGATGAAGATCATAAACGGCAGACTTACCGAAGGTGGATACCTTAACTTAAACTGCCACAAACCTCTCTTCATTCAGGGAGTAGTATTGTTTAAAAGTGCGTTGCTAACAGAGTAATTTTCCAACAAAAGGGTTAACCCAACCAAACTCAACGTGTCTGTAAAACGGAACCGAGATTCAAATCAAGTAACTTAACTAAAAAACCGTAACATTTTATAACAAAATGGCAGAAAGGTACATCTTTCGCCATTCTGAAAAGTTTTCAATGACCTCGTGAGAAAAAATCATATCAATTTAAAATTTCAAAACTACTGATTTCCTTCGTCTATTTCAAATGTTCAAGTGTCTATATAGCTTAAGTTCAGCCGCCTAATGATAAAAGGGCTTTCAAAAATTTTCTTAACCAGCTATAACTAGTATAAATTAACTATGATGTAAATATTAATACCAACAAAAAATTAAAGCTAACATTTTCGTATGTACAAAATGAATGCTATGTGTTTAAAGTATTTTGAAATATTCATTCCTGAGTTCGGCAACCGCCTCACCATTTGATGTTGGTTCGGAGTTATCTTAATATTTCTGTTTCTATTTTTGCTGTTGCTTTCTTCTTCATTATTATTTTTTTAATAATTTTTAATTTTTTTTTCCTTTTTATTCCTTTTTTTTTCACTACAAGAGCTATTGTGTGCTTTACGCGTAAAAAGTCGCCTAAGAGACGGTGGTTGGTTGGTTGGTTGGTTGGTTTGTTTTCTCAGACCCTTTCAAACGTTTACTGATTTTCTGTCAACCCTTTGTTGGAAGAAATGTCAAGGACCTTCCAGGAATTCTAAGCACCTACTTTACTAAGTCAACATTACTGCTCTTAGAAACTTAATTACATTGTCTAAGTGGTCAATTAAAAATTCAACACCAAAAGTGTCTAAATGATTATTATTAACGTGTTTAAAATCCCTGGAAAAAACCTTCACGTTTTCACAACTGTTGCAACTGCTTTCCGGATATTTTGACATAAGTCGAGGAAATGATGGAGGAGTGACACGAGGCTAGTGGTTTGTGACAGGAAATTAAATTCTAGAGCACACTACACAAAAGATTATTAATTAAGACAAAAAATATTGGATACTCACAGTTGACACAAATCACCCCGATGAAATCCATTTAAGTTTTTTAATTTCTACTATTAGTGTTCAAACTTATCTACTTTTAATGCGATATATTCCATTTGACCTCAAAATATCCTAATGCAAGCGAATTCCAATGAATGAAATGTCCCAGCTACGCTGTAAACACGTGTTATGTTCTTCTCCAGTGTTGATGTCGAGAAAATTAAGATTTTTTTTCTAGTAAATAAAACTGCCGTCGGAACGAGCAAGTCATGTTAGGCAAAGCGCCCTTACAAGACTAACTTCTGACGCAGCTACGTTTGGTTTAAGTGACCCGGTACAAAAGCCCCTGACAGAACCCTTGTCCATAAGGACTAAAGAGCTATTTTGTTTGACCCTTCCCCGAAGACCAATCCAGAATGGTTAAACCTAATATGAGCACATGGCTCCTTCTGGCACAGCTCTGCGGATCACTAGAGTACGCACGCTTCCTCATCTCGTCACGGTGCAGCACCAAGAGGAAGATGAAAATGTAACTTTTATGTTCTGAGTCTAACAGAACTGGAGATATCATTAAATGTTTCACGTACACTTGAGTGAGAAAAGAATGAAATTCATTGAAAATCGCTTGCATCACTTTTAAACAATACTGCACAATTAATGAAAAATTTGAATCCGCACCAGCATTGTATTATTCCTGACATACTGCGGCTCACGGATCGACTCAATTGGTGCAAACTCAACATATCCATACCCCTTGTAGTTGCGCGGCGCTGTGGGTCTTTGGAAAGCCAACAGGTTAGGCTTGGCCACCAGGGTCTCACTGATGTGGTGACGGTATTCAGCGCCATCAGACTGATCCAAAATGGACAGAGCAATTCTTCCCGTAAAGGGCCATTCCAGAATGCTGTCATAATCTCCCTGCATCATATGAACAAACAGCGCCACGTGTTTTCCAACACCACTATCCACACCGTTCAGGTTGATCCTCATACACAACTTATAGCCGTAAAGACTGGTGTGGAAGGACGGGCTGTGGATTGCTGTCATCACCCCACTGAGGGCATCTTGGCGGCACTGTCGATAGTTATCGATCTTCCAAATATATGATCCGTTGCACAAACGCCCCTCAACTTCTGACAATTTTGTTTCATATCGGTTGAATCTGATGAAATAACAAGAATTATATATTAACACTAGTATATCGAAATCTCAAAAGAGTCATATCTTGGGGATAATGGGTGGGTGGGGTTGTGGGGACCTTGCAACACTAAGCAGGCTTTGCCTTGCCACGAGCGACAAGAATTTTCCCTTTCTATGGAAAATCTCCAAATGAGGTCTGCCGTATTTACCTTGGGTTAGCCCTATATTAAAAATCCTAAAAACCGGGATCGTCTAGTTACTTGGTCACTGTAGCAAGTCCTGAGTTTGATATTTTCCCGTACCTCACTCTTAGTTATCGAGTAGTGACCACCACTTACTGTGCTCTAGCTCTTAGCCAACCAGAGCACGTGATATCAAACACACGTCACCATATTATAATTTCCCGCGATGGATCACGTAGATAATGGTGGGAAACGTAGACAGCTTCTTACATAGAAAAAAAGTAAACTTTGAGGGGAAAACCGGTAAGTCACATGACCACGTTTCAACGTGTCTTCTATCAATGAATATACATGGTAGAAGTTTTGGATTTACCGGCTAACATTCTTAGCCATTCGTGAAATTTTTCTAAGGAGACCAAAAAGTACAGCTCAGGGGCGGCGAGAACGACCCCATACCCTTTCGAGTTTCAGGTGAAGACGTCACCATTCGAAATTCTTTGAAAAAGGACTTTTTAAAGATTTTTTATAAAGTCGATCTTCTAGATGCCCACACACCAAAGTAAACCGGTGTAAATCACCAAGTTAAAAAGATAAGCTGCACTAAGAGATCTGTCTATCCTTGACAGATAAATAGCAAATATCTCACCAAAGGTGGTCATTTACGAAGAAGGCGATGACGAAGACTGAAATATCCCGAACATTGCATTCCATGGCATATTACGTTTTCTTTTACCAAAAGGCCCCAAGCTTTTGAACGTGCGTAAAGCTACTCTCTGCATGCATAGATTTAAGCTGTTGATACTAGAGAATCTGGATGAGATTTCTGATGCTAAGTTCCAATATAACATGAACAACACTCAAATATTATCCAAAAATACGGAAATCACATGTACTCAAATTGAAAATATTCTCTTGAGGAAATACGTTTTAGCACCCAAGCGTTTTACAATTTCTTAATTGCCCGATTGTTTCATTAGAATTTCGCTCAATTTAAGTTTTCGTTGCTATCCAGTTGTTACGTTGATTTCTCGCGCACTTAAATTTTTATTATTCTTTTCTGATTGTTACGTTAGTATCTCACATGATTAAAGTTTTCCCTACTGTCTGATTGTATCGTTAGTATCTCGCGTGCTTTGATGTTTCGATGTTGTCCGATTTTACGATAGTATTTCACATGCTTAAAGTTTTCGTTGTTGTCTGACTGTTATGTTCGTTCCTTGGTACTTAAATTTTTAGTTCCTGTCCGATTGTTACATTAGTATCTCGCGCACTTAAAGTTTTCGCTGTTGTCCGATTGTTACATTAGTATCTCGTGCACTTCAACTTTCTGTTTTCTTATTGTTAGGTTGGTATCTCGCAGAATTAAGGTTTTGGTTTTTATCCAATTGTTTCGTTTGTATCTTGCGTACTTAAATATTTCGTTGTTGTCCAATTGTTACGCTAGTTTCTCACACGCTTAAAATTTTCGTTGCTGTCCGATTGTTAAGGTGGTATCTCACACGTTTGAATATTTGTTTCTCATCCGATTATTACGTTAGTATTTCCGCGACTTTAGCTTCTTTGTTCCGCTTGTTTCGCAAAAATTTCGCGCAGTTTAAGTTAAAAAATTTTCACCTGCGCCTAAGTTAGACAAACCACATATACACTGAAACACATTCTCAAATTCCTTATATTTTTTATTTCTCTAAGGTGCGAGTATGTCTTTCAATACCTCCCAGATTTCCTTAAGGAACACATCTGACAGACTTGAACTGCTAAATAATCGCACCTGCGCCTTTGTCACACAAAGCCTTCTGGTTCGTTGTTACATCAGTAGCGCAAGCTTTGTACGTTGTCCTTATTTTTCAGTTATTTAGTTCTTATCTCCCAATATCATTTGACGGTTACTCAAGAACCTTGCGAACTGTCATCGCCTGGCTTGTTGTACTTTTACGAACGTATCTCCTGCACTGTTCTTATTATGGTTTGTTTGATTTTTTACAGAAGCATCACGTGCACTTTTTGTTCTTTGGTTTGATCATATTCACAGTATCACGCATATCTAACGAACTGTTTAATTTGTTCCTGGTTTGTTTGGTCGAGATGAGAATTTAAATTTTTAAGTTACTCGATTTTCACGCGAGGCAAAAATTATACTCGAATGTAAAGCATACCAGCACTTATCCAGTACTAAGATAAAAACGCCCCCTTCCTTTGTTGTTAATGTTGCAAGGTGATCATACTTTCCTTACCCCACGCTTTATTTTCACAGAGCTTGGTGTCGAACGTTTACTGAGTGATACTTCTCCTTATGTCTCTGCCTAACTTTCTACTTGATAACATGCAGATGATACACCATTGACTGTAAACTGGTATTGATTCTGATGACTTATTAAATGAAATAAATAATAATATACGTGACTTACCTTAACATGTCTTTGTTATTTTATGAGTCATTAAATGACGATGTAAATTCCTAGTTTCTCTCCAACCTCATGCTTCAAACAAGATATACTTACAACTGTATACTCGAACTACTTCAACTGATCAATTCGATATACAAATATACAATAAATTTCCTTAGAAACTATAAGAGATTGTGTCTAAGTATTAGTAATAAAAAATTCTGGAGTGACTCATACCTCAGAGTCAACTCTTGGATGGGCCTTTCCTGTCGCATACGAGTCTCCTCCAGCTGCCGCTCCAGATGATGTATTATATTACTCATCTCAGCTACCTTGTGCCTCAATTCGTCCAGCTCTTCTCGCTGAGTCTGAGTCCTGCTTGACAAATCATGTAGATATCCTTCTTGGCTCGCTTGCTCTCGAGGAAATGCCCCCACCCCACCCCTGGTTCGCCCAGTACCACCCGCATTCCTCTGTCCTTCTGTGTTATCATTGCCAGACCCAGTTGTCATCAACTCACCAAGTTTCTTGGCCATATCCATTGTGTGGGTAGTTATCTCCTTAGCAACATGTTCAATGACTCCTAGCCGCTGACCCTGAAATATTTGAAAATTTCCCTTGGTCAATCACGGAAAACAGGAAATGAGGATTGAAGTAGTTCAAGGGCATTGGTCAAAGTGAGGTTTCAATTAATGAGAAGTGACAAATCGATTATAAATACTCCACAAGACTTCCCGTATATAGTAGAATATCAAATGCAATCAAATGATCATTCGATTGACGGATAAAAGACTAACTAATTGACAGACTGACTTAATGACTGGCCGACTGACTGGCTAACTGACTGACAGACTGGCTAGCTGACCGGAATGAATGAAGAAAAAACTTTCACATGTAAAGCATACTGGCCTGGAAATATCTCATACTAATTTGACTAACTGCCTACCTGATAGACTGGATAACTGACTGACAGATTAACAGACTGGCTAACTGACTCACTGGCCAACCAATTGACTGGACTAAAAACTGAAATTGATTGACGGTGTGTGGTTTGTTGTGTGTGTTGGGAGATTTCCTTGCCTAATAGGGTTGACATTTAAGGAAGCTGGAAAGTGTTTTCCGTCATTAAAAGCAAATATCCTATAAGAAAACATTGCAAGACTGTTTATCTCGTCATAAGGAAAATTTTTAACACCTGGATTAAACTATTGTTCAACAATTTTTAAGGGTGTTCGCGAGGCCTCATCTGTTGCCATGGCAACAGTACAGCAAATCCAAAATGACCTAAAATAACCTCGAGTGATGTGAACCATGTGGCGTAGATAAAATCTGTATCGGACCGGACCGGATCACGGATTGCTTATTTCGGTTTGGGGATTTTACATGGTTTGGAATTTGATTTTCGGTTTTCGTCAAAAATACAAACGGATTTTTGCATTTTGTCCCGGTTCGACTTCAATCTGAGCGGCAATTAAGCGCCTCCACTGATCTCGAACAGCTCGGCTCAACGTTAATGTTGTCGAGAGGAATGCGTGACAAAACAAATTTCGCTAAAATAACTTCTCGTTGGTTGAATATCGTAGGGATCCATGGGAGGTCACGCGTCTCGAATGGCACCCAGGACTTTGACCTTGCAATGCGAAGTACTAAGGTTGATCGGTATGCGAACTATGGCTTCCAACATGCCTCACGGACCAGCAACTTAAGTAGCTCAAAGACCTTAAGAAACAATTGTGGATTGTGTCGCGTTTTTCTCACCTGACTGATGAAATGATACGTACCTCGCGCTTGCCTTCATCCATGGTGGCCTTACACAACATCCCTCGACACAGCCCTGAAAGTGACTACATGGGATTTTTGGGCAGAAAAAAAAACTCCTGAGGGGGCTTGCGCTCTACTATGTCACGCAGACTTTATTTTGGCTTGTCCCGCAAAATTTCTAATTTATCTAACATGATCAGATCCATGATCCGTGATCCGAACCGTGACCCGATCTTTGATCCGATCCGTGATCCGATCTGGTCCGATCCGGTCCGATCCGGTCCGATCCAGATTTTGTCGACGCCGCAAACCCAAGGTTTAAGACATTTTAGAAATCACTCAAGGTCATTTTAGGACATTTTAGAAATCATCCAGGGTCATTTTACGTCATTTTAGGACATTTTTGAAATCACCAAGATCATTTTAGGTCATTTTAGAACATTTTAGGAATCACTCAAGGTCATTCTTCGTCATTTAAGGACATTTGGAAGTCACCTATGGTCATTTTACGTCATTTTAGAAATCCCCAAAGTCATTTTGGCTCACTCAAGAAATCACCCAAGGTCATTTTAGGTCATTCTAGAAATCCTCCAAGGCCATTTTAGGTCATTTTAGAAATCACTCAAGGTCATTTTAGGTCATTTAAGATCATTCTAGAAATCCCGCAAGGTCATTTTAGGTCATTCTAGAAATCACCCAAGGTCATTTTTGGTCATTATAGAAATCACTCAAGCTCATTTTAGGTCATTCTAGAAATCACTCAAGCTCATTTTAGGTCATTCTAGTAATCACTCAAGCTCATTTTGGGTCATTTAAGGTCATTTAAGATCATTCTAGAAATCACGCAAGGTCATTTTAAGTAATTCTAGAAATCACTCAAGCTCATTTTATGTCATTCTCGAAATCACTCAAGCTCATTTTAGGTCATTTAGGGTCATTTAAGATCATTCTAGAGATCACGCAAGGTCATTTTAGATTATTCCAGATATCACCCGTGGTCATTTTAGTTCATTCTAGAAATCACCCCAGGTCATGAGGTCATTCTAGAAATCACTAAAGGTCATTTAATGCCATTTTAAGTCACTCTAGAAATCACTCAGGGCTAAAAATTAACTCCAGTACTTAGTGGCCAGGCGGGCCAGTTTCCTTGAATTCTTAGTGGCCCATTCCAAAATGAAGTAGCCCTCGATTTCCACTAGTTTAAAATGAAAAACCTGAAGAAACGCCTCATGGCTTTTAACGGAGCGTTAACTAAAAGGAAAGAACACAAAGGCAATGCCCTCAGTAATGCCATGAGACATTTTTCTTTAACATTTCGGCCATTCATTTGGCACTATAAAATTATTAGGTGTTGAGTGTTTTTATTGATTTAAGTAAATAAAGTTAATTGCAATAAAGTAACTTCAAGAATTTATTTGCAGTTGTTGTAAAAATCATTGTAGAAAAAGCTGGGTTTTTTTTATGACGATTTTTAACCCTGCATTTTAAGTCATTCTAGAAATCACCCAAGGTCATTTTAGGTCATTCTAGAAATCACTTAAGGTCACTCTAGAAATCACGCAAGGTCATTTTAGGTCATTCTAGAAATCACTCAAGGTCATTCTAGAAATCACTAAACGTCATTTAATGTCATTTTAAGTCAGTCTAGAAATCACTTCAAGGTCATTTTAGATCATTCTAGATATCACTCAAGGTCATTTTAAGTCATTCTAGAAATCATCCAAGGTCATTTTAGGTCATTCTAGAAATCACTCAAGGTCATTTAAGGTCATTCTAGAAATACTCAAGGTCATTTAGGTCCTTTTTTGTCATTTTAGAAATCACTCAAGGTCACTAAGGTCATTCTAGAAATCACTCAAGGTTATCTTAGGTCATTCAAGAAATCACCCAAGGTCATTTTAGATCATTCTAGAAATCACCCAAAGTCATTTTAGGTCATTCTAGAAATCACACAAGGTCATTTTAGAAATCACTCAAGGTCATTTTAGAAATCACTCAAGGTCATTTTAGGTCATTTAAGATAATTCTAGAAACCACGCAAGGTCATTTTAGGCCTTTAAAATTGCGCCAGCGTGTGGCTGCATGATTTTAGGCTCCGTAGCTTTTCGCGTTCCTAACGTTTCTTAGCGTTTCTTAGTATTTCTTTTTCTTTTAGTTGGAAGTCGTATTGTACTAAGTCTTAAATACGCTAGTTTACTCCGGGAACACTCTCATTTCACTGCGTAACTGGTACAAGACCTTCAAGAAGTTCTCAGCGCCGCTTCATGGATCAGTTGTTCGACCGGTATCGACCGAACTTTGGGAGAAGCTTGCATTTCATTATTTGCTAACTAGCACAAGAGGACAGCGAGGCGGAAACCATCTCAGAAACCGAAGGTCCATTGCCACAGTGAATTTTAGTGCTAGAAGTGATGGAGCGTCAAACCCAAGTCAAAAAGGATCGAATCGTTCGAACTTATTAAACATTCACATTGACACCTCTAGAGCCATGACCGCGACAACAACAACAACAACAGAACATCAGTGCAAAATTCTTATCTCCCGAAGTCTAAACTTAAAATTGCACATCTTAATGTAAGATCATTGAAAACAAGAAGCCATTTGCTGCAAGTGCAGGAGTTAATGCGGGAGAAGGATTATGATGTCTTGGCTGTTTCAGAGTCCTGGCTCAACTCGACTGTGACGAACGCCGAAGTTGAAATTGACGGATATAAATTAACTAGATTGGACCGACTGGGAAAGAGTGGAGGCAGAGTGTGCGTATATACTCGCTCATCACTCAAAGTTAAACGGTTAAACGGTTAAAGGACATGTCTGAGATTTCGGAGTCAGGATTTCATCAGTTATGGATGCAGATTCAACTGAAGAAACTGAGGTCTATGTTACTTTGTGTGGCGTATAGACCTGATTATTGTCTTTTACCTTGTTTTGTCAACAACTTTATGGACAAATATACTCAAGCGCTTACCTTTGGGAAAGATATACTTGTTGCTGATGACTTAAATTGCAACATGTTGAAACCACGTTCTCCTGAAGCTAATGCCCTCCTTGATTTGTGAAACAGCGTTAATTAAACTCAGTTGATTAAAGAGCCGACACGGGTGACTGAAAATTCGTCAACTCGTATTGACGTGATCATGGCCTCCGGTAACAATATAGTAGAAGATAGTGGAGTGGTCGTATCTTACATCAGCGATCACTTTCTAGTGTATACTTCTTTGAAACTTAAGTTGCCTTAGTCTCCATCTGGCTCTGTGAATATAAGATCCTATAAGAGTTAAAATCATGATAAATTTGTCGAGGATCTCAAACAAGTGTCATGGCATGAGACAGCCCTTGTTGACGACGTGAGTGAAATGCTTGATCACTTCAACACAAATTTTCTCAACGTGCTTGAAAGTCACGCCTCTATTAAAACAGTGAGGATCAGACCCCGTTGCTGCCCTTTTGTCGACACAAAAATAAAAAAAGGTTATGCGTAGCAGAGATGACTTATTAAGAAAATGCCCGTCGCTCTGGTATGCCTTTGGATTGGAAGTTATACCGTGATTTACGCGAAGAAGTGAAGACTAAGTTAAGAGGGGCGGGAAAAGGATACATACAGGAAGAACTAGAGCGCTCTCAGAACACCAGGTCGAAGTGGAAGGTTATTAGAAGTTGTATTCCTTGCAAGGAAACAACTCGGCAAGTATACACGAGAGACAAGGAGGTTGCAGACGAGTTCAATTAATTCTTCACTTCTGTGGGTGATAGAGCCTCCGAGGCTTCCAGGTCCCTGTTGAATGTCCACAATCTGGCCCCTCTATTGGCCGTTGTTCCAGATAATGAAATCTCAGAAGTGGACAAATTTTGTTTCCATCCAGTGTCTAGTAGGGAGATTCAGAAGATTGTGATGTCTTTACCATAAAAAAAAAAGCCCCGGGTCACGATAAAGTGTCAACGTCTGTACTTAAGGATGCTCTTCCATGTATTCTTCCAATTCTTACAGTTATTGTTAACCGTTCCTTATTGACCTCAGTCTTCCCGTCAGCCTGGAAAAAATCTGAGGTCGTTCCATTATTGAAAGAAGGGGACCACGAGATTGCTAATAATAATCACCCAGTCTCGCTTTTGCCTGTAGCATCTAAAGTGTAGGAACGAGTAGCTCTGAACCAGCTGGCCACCTATATGAATAACAACAGGCACCTCAGTGAACATCAAAGTGGCAATAAAAAATACACTCATGCGAAACACTAAACGTTATGACAACGGATAAGTTACTAGAAGCAATGGATTCGAAGAAATTGACCCTTGTGGTCCTACTGGATTTGTCAAAAGCCTTTGACAGTATTGACCACTGCAGACTTCTCTCCAAACTACAGGCTCTTGGAATTGGTCGTACCGCATTAGAATGGTTTAGAAGTTATCTAACCGGGTGCCAAAAGTACGTCAGGATTGGTTCAGACCTCGAACCTCGGCCCGATCACTCATGGAGTTCCACAAGGCTCGATACTGGGGCCGGCCCTCTTTAACCTATACATAAATGATTTACCTACCATCCCGGAAAGTGGCTTATTGGAATCATTTGTTGACGACTCAAAGCTGTACTTGTCGTTTCCTGTCAAAGATGCTGCCGCAGTGGTGCAGCTGATAAACGAAGACCTGACTAAGATCGCTACGTGGTGCTGTTATAATGGTCTCCTCATCAACCCTGATAAGACTAAACTCTTAGTGATGGGAAATCGCCAGATGCTGCTAAGACTCCCCAAAGATTTTCATGTCACTTTACTAGGCAAAGAAGTTACTCCATCCAACTCAGCGAGGGATCTCGGCATAGAAATGGACGCTACGCTAAACTTAGATGAACATATTACGAACACTGTCTCATCTTGTTCTGCTAGCCTATGCCAGATTAACAGAATTAAACATATTTTTGACTCAAAGTCTTTGGAGAATGTTATCCACGCTTTGGTGTTTAGTCGATTGTTTTCTCGTTCTCCTGTATGGTCCAGTACAACAAAGAAGAACGTTTCCAAACTGCAAAGTGTCCAGAATTTTGCTGCAAGAGTTGTCACAGGCTCGAGAAAATTCGAACACATAACACCTGTCCTGAGGGACTTAAATTGGCTTCCTGATAGTAGCACGTTGAAATATACTGTTGGCATTCTCACGTTTAAATGTGTTAATGGACTAGCGCTTAGATATCTCTGTCCCCGCTTTGTCACTAGGGCTACTGTACACGATCGAAATACTAGAAATAAGAACAAATTAGATATTCCGGGATACAAATCTGCTGCTGGGCAGCGATCTTTTCTGTGCCGATCAGTAACTATGTGGAACTCATTTCCGACGGCTATCACTGATTGTAATAACCTAGCAATGTTTAGGAGGAAATTGAAAGATTATCTTTTCCGATTGTATTTTTCATATAGTTAACTGTATCATTATACGATGATTCTAGAAATCACTCATGGTCATTTAGGTCATTCTAGAAATCACCCAAGGTCATTTTAGGTCATTCTAAAAATCACTCAAGGTCATTTTAGGTCATTTTAAGTCATTCTAGAAATCATTCAAGGTCATTTTGGGACATTTTAGAAATAATTCAAGGTTGTTTTTGGTTATGTTAGGACATTTAAAGTCATTCTAGGTCATACCTTGTTTTAGTAACTAACTTCAGAACATAAATTATGAGGAAAATCTCTCCTCAGAGTAACCCCTAATGAAGGTGCCTGCGTCGCACAATCAGTTGCACCAGGTGATATTGTCACCGTGATGGAAGAGGGGAAGTCAAATCGTAGTACTTGGAAACTCGGAAAGACTGAGGAGGTGCATCCTGGAAACGATGGTTTCGTTCGAGGAGCTACTGTGGAAGTTGCTTCGAGCAATGGCAAACGAAAACGCCTGAGACGACCCTTACAAAAATTGTTTCCGTAAGAAGATCGAGAAGTTGGTGGTATGGAACAAGTTCCAGAGGTAAATACTTTGCAAAGGCAGAGGAGGAGTGCCGTTATCACAGGAGAAGTTAGAAGACGAGAAGTCGATCAGTTTCTTCAAGAACAAGAGGACTCCTTTTAAAGGAATTGATCGAGGGGGGGAGATGTAGAAAATCTCTTTCGTTTTTCTAACTATTCAGTTACAATTTTTCTCTTCCTTTCTCCCCTAAGTATTCTTTTTGCATTCACGCGCGGTGCGCGTGATTTCACAAATTGGTCAATCACGTTAAAGAACTCTAACCTTGACATTGGAAAACTGACGTGGACATTTTTCGCGTACTTTTAGTTTGTTTTCGCGGAGTTTTAGTAAGTTGTTTTTGAGCTTTCGTTCGCGTAAATTTGTTACTCCTTGGTTTGGAATTTAAGAAGTTTCGGAGTTTTTAATTTAGTCAAATGTTGTGGTTCATTTAATAAGTTTAATATATGTTTTCTGCGGAGTTTGGACTCTAGTCTCTTTTTTCGAATATGCATTTTTTACACATTACTGACTGGCGTAAAATCTTACGCCAGTAAAATCTTGAACCAGCCGCGTTGGATCTCAGCATGAACCGTCATGATTAGTTCGAGTTTTTAACAGTCTCGCCAGTTTGGCTACATTTTTCATCATCCCTGTTTTGTTGTTCTGTTTTGTTTTTTCGAACACGAAACTGTATATACTACACGAATGTCAGCGGTGTTTGATATTTATTACCGGACGTAAGCTTGCAATTTAACTGAGTGTGCAAAACCTTGAACATTCGGACTGTCCATTTCGTTTACTCTTTGAGGATTTTCGTCTCTGCTCACGTTATAATAACGCCAATTACGGCGCCTTGCATATTTACAAATATTTGTTTGGTTCTTCTGTTGCTAATTGCCGACTCGCCTGTTCCGAAATTTCCCTTTCAATTAGAGAGAAAAAACTAGGAAGTTCCGGAGAAAGTCGGACATAATACAATTTGGTATATGGCGTGACAGCTTTAGTTCAGCTCTGTGCTCTATACTCTCATAGAACACGCTCTTTCAACCAAGAGAACGAACGTTATATGCGAATTTTATTATAATACAGTATACACAATACCGACTAAGCCAAATTACACCTTTAGTTACTGGTGTAAAATCTTACAGTACATACATTACCGACTGAATGAAATCACGCCGTTAGCTACTGAGTTGTTTTTCACTTACGCCACGCAATTTCGCGGGAGTATCGCGTGTGGGATACATTTATTTGGATCCTCTCTCCTCCGTATAACAACCCCTTTCGAACTTCCTTAAATTCAGTGAAGTGCAAAATCTAAAGTAATCCTATTTAAGTGTCAGTGTACAGTAAAAAAAAGGGATATTCTCTACATACAGTTTCAATTTCATTCAATTCAATTCAATTCAATTCATATTCTTAATGTTAAAAAAAGGAAGACAAAATTTGGCCTCAAGTTCAAGCCATCTAAAAATGGGTATTACAACAGGTTTTAAGGTACTCGAGAAAGAGACGCAGAAAGTGTTATCAAAACAGTTTTCACTCACATACCTCAAATGCACACCCCACGATGTAGAAAGGACATTTCAATTCCACTGCAGGACATTCTTTGTCCAAATGTTCTTGCAACTACAGAACACAAATTCTTATGATATAGATGCATTTCTACTTTAATTTGCAAAGACATGACCACTGTCCTTTATAATTGACTGTCAGGTTCATGCCTTGCCAGAGCTCTGCTAGAGGGTGAATACTTTGTGTTTGGAGAGAGTTTGAGAGCCCAAAGCCGCAGGTTTGCAAACATCTGACTGCAAAGTTTTGGCCCAAAGGTGGCATCACCCACTAAAAATGTGGGGGGCTTAATATCAAGGCAAGCACCCTGACATAGCCTTGGGACTACCCTACAAGAGGTTGGGTTGTTAACAGCAGGGATGGGGAGGGTAGGTTTTGAATCCCTCAGTCCATTGGTCTTTGCTTTTCAGTCAAAAGGGGCTTCTTGGGCACTTGTCATGCTGTTTTGCCCCATTGGCAAAAGGCTTAATGCTAAGACTCGTTAGCTGAAGGTTAGCTAGGTGTCAAAACCATCACTTACAAGAGGGGGAGGGTTCTATTAATATTGCAAACACCTGATGGCAAGATATTTCACTTGAATGAAATATACTGTATCTCTCTATCCTTCACATGAGGTGTACAAAAAGGCAGTACAGGAAGAGTAAATAACTTTGCTGACGAAAGATGGTCTACTTAGCTGTCTTAAGATCTTTAAAATAAAATGACATAAGGAACAGGGTTAGGGTAAAAAGGATGGAGTTACAAGATAGGAAGAGACAGAAGGCAGAGGGATGTAGAAAAGATATAGCTTTTGATTAAAAGAGGTCACTATACCCACAACTGAACATTAAGAAAAAGTAGTGCTGATACATAACAAGTGGTTAAATGAGTGAAATGCAAAAGACTAGAGTTACATTGTTTACAACAAATGTGCCTAGAAAAATGAAGTAGAGAGTTAAATCATCTTTCATGTTTCTACTTGCCTTTTCTCTTGCAATGTTTTCTTTCTTGCAGCTATCACACTTCACAGGGAATTTTGGACAGTTCCCATAATGGTCCTAAAAGGGAAATATTTTAGGGACCAACTCAACAAAGTGCCTCAATGTTGTTACAATAACACACAATTTTCAGAATCTTCAACCTCAGTTACATGTTAGCTTTCTTCCAAAACTTTCTAGTCATTTTAGTCAATCTCTATTTTTTCTCTGTACTCAGGTGACTAATGAAGTCTTCTCTCACCAAAAAAAAAAAATTGGAAAACATCTTTATCAATGCTACATGTAAGACCCACCACACTTTATTCTAGATCTTAGAATATGAGGGGCAAGGCCACCCTCACCTGTTAATCAGGACAAACCTCTAATTCATTCCACTTTATGTCTTTTTTGCAGTGTTTACAAGGTATTGTTCTGTTTGGACATTCCTTCGCCAGATGTTCTTTAATTTCCTTCCTCTGCATCTCTCTTCCACACTCTTTGGGGCACTTCACATCCACAAAATCACATTTATTCAGATGTTCCTAGAATTCAAAATGAGAATTAATGCATGTGGTTCCTAAAGAATCTGTTGTGCTTTGTTAATGGGCAACAAATATTATTAATAAAGAACCATAACATAAAGCTGCTCTGAAGGAGAGAGTTCACCCTTCAGCCCCTAAGAGTGATTAGCATCTAATTTCTCCTTATTGTATCACCCCTGAATCAAACATGAAAGTCATGAGAATAGAGGAGATGATCACCGACTAGAGCAACTCTTGATCTTGATTGGTAAACAAATTCTCCTTAGCAGCCTCTTTGTAAATGTATAGAGAACAGTATGGAGAATATGCATACTGATGTTAGGGTGTAAAGGGCTAAGTCTTGCTACTAGCATACGATGATTATTTATCTTAATACAATGTACTTCACATAGAAGTTCATCCTTTCTTATCCATCATGATAAAACAGTCTTATCTACTAAATTACATCTTAAACATCAACTTAAATTTTTAGGGTAACTTCCCAAACACAGTTGATGAAAACAAGCCTTGTTGAGTGATAATTAATGATAGGGTTCATTATTAAAAGAAATTGTGCTCATACTATCATAATACCTCTAACTTTCCCAGCTTTCCCTTCCAAGTACAGCTGCGTTGCTCTTTCATACGACAGAATACATCTTGATCCATCATTTCCCGCTTTGCAAAGTTGTCTGGATAAAGCTGAACAGAAAATAATTTGAATTCATTATGCATTGCCCTGTGGGCATAAAAAACATTTCTAAAATGGTTTACAGGAATTAGCAAAATCATCTTTCACTTTAACACACACACCTCTGTGCTGAGTATTTATTTACAGCATTTTGTTGTGATTCTTGACTCATAAAAAATTCTCTCATCATTTTGAATCAAATATTTAGTGTGTTTCAATTAACAGCACTCTAAAGATACAATTTGCCTGCAGGGAAAGTTGTTAATTGATGGTTATTATTCACATGAAGAACAATATCTCACAGATCCCAGGTGCCCTATCAAATGGCTTAAATTTCACCTTGTCTTGAAGGCCCTTTATGTCATTCTACAGTTTCAAATATTGATGAAAAAATTATGCACAGCAGCAACAGCCAAAGTATAACTAGGCGAAAAAACTTGTCTGAAAACAGTTGGTGCAAATTGCTCCTAACGAGGCAAACTTGAGCCACATTTTTCCTATTCTGTAAATTTTACATCAAGAATTCTTGCTGTAAAAAATCTTAAGCCAAACAGTGGCAACTCTTGGATGAACAGCTCGTCACAGTGTCGCCCAGACAACATGATCACTTTGGGTGTTTTTTTTTACTTCACCGCTTGGCTGATTCAAAGCAATTCAACCTTCTTGTCAGATGCCCAGTAAGATATGGTGGTCAAGGTTTTCTAAATACATCATCATTCTACCTTGTTAGAAAACAACAAAAGAGACAACCAGCATGAAAGGTGCTATGAGAGGAATGAGTCTAGAATGTCCTTTGCAGCAGGAATATTCAAGATTTGAGCATGAAGTAGGCAGTGGTTGTTTACACTGGTCCCCATTGTCTAGACTTTCAAATTATGTTCAGTCATGTGTAATACTTAGGATACAAATTACACCACTGTTCATGCATCAAGCGCTTGATAAACTTGACTGCAAACTCAGACAGGCACTAAAAGCATAGCTAACAATGCAGTAAAATGATCAGCATTTAAGCCTTTCATTTACCTTCCAAATACTGACTGATAAGTCAATTTGTAAAGTGATCCAACTACAGTATGCATGTTCTGATCCAACCATTCACCATATTTCTTTCATGAAAACAGTAACACAGAATATTTGTACAAACCTGTGATTCGCTTAGTGGCTCATTATCTACAGGGCATTTGGGACCAGCGTCCCTGATAATAGTAACGAAAAACAATGTTATTAGTAAGACTATGACTTATCAAGGAATAGCATCTTTACCTGTAGTTCTGTAGTTCTAAAACACAAAACAAAAAAATCAAATTGCATTTACTATATAACAAGCCAGATCCATTAATTGAAGGTATATCAAATGTTAAAAATTAAAACTTACATCAACCCTACTTATACTTGTCAAAAATGTTTTTATGTTATTTTCCCCAATAAACATTTCACTGTAAGAAGGGCATGTATCATATATAAATAATACAACCTGATTTTTTTCCCTGAAAGAATTAAAATGAAACAAAAACAAAATATGCCCTCTTAAGCACTCTCCTAGACAATTCAGTATTTACTTCAAATTATCATCTTCATTCTACAATACTATTTTCAAAAAACATGACTCATGTTTCCTGGTTAATTCCCCTTGTAAACAGTTCAGCATTATGACCAACATCTACATTTTTAATTAGACTTGGCAGGAAGAGGATGAATTACTCGTAAGAAATATAATAATATCAAATTTTCTCATTGAAGTCTGAAAATGAAACAAAAAAACAAAACCTCAGCTCTTTCATTTTCTAAGAAAATTTCCCCCAAAACCCAAAACATCGATAATGAAGGTAGAAGATTATAAATGGGATTCACACAAACTTTAATCATAAGATGTGACAAAATAAGTGATTGGCAACATGAAAATGTTACAAGTTATGCTACTACCCTTCCTTATAAGTTTTAGCTGTAATGGATATTGTTGAGGACACAAAGAATGGCTTGTGACATGCACACAAATTACTCAATGCCACGCAAGAGTACTAATCTATAAATACTTTAACCCTTCCGTATCTAAAATGATGAAAACCCTTCCACATAAGACAATAAGCTGTGACGCTACGAAAAAAAAAATCCCATCCACAAATAAGCTACTGCACCAATCAATTCTGCGTACAAATACCGTTTCATGTTCATATCAATCACAAGGGATTTTTTTATGCAAAGGCTACCTTCCAATATGGATTGGCTTTCTCCAATTGCTTCAAATATTCTTGTCTGTCTTTGTTTATTTCTGCATACCTGGATTTTCAATTTGTAACTGTTTGATCAAATCTGGAGTAAAAACCCCCATAATGCTGTCACTGTTGTGTGACATGTACCCAACATATGTTATTAAGTGACTGGTTGACCAATATGCAACAAGTCGGATGCTGCTCCTTTGAGTTTCCTAAATTGTCACATTCAAAGTTTCCTACCCAATTGGGTATGTGAGAACAACAAAGGCATACACACGCATGCGTCACAAAAGAATCTTAGTTAACCATAAAGATGAGAAAATCATTACATGAACCTACAAACTTGTGTCGAGCGCAGGAATGTAATGCTAAGAAGGCGTGGAAACACGGGTAGAAAAAAGGCGTCATGTTCGTATTCTTCATAACTTGTAAGGTACGGTTACAATGTGCCACTAGATATAAAGAAATTACCTAGATTGATCAAGACTAACAGCAAGTTACGGCAACATTGCTGATATGATTTGGGATCGAACAAACTGCTATGACGACCTCAACCCTTAAGTATATTTAATTTCCTTATGTGAATTTGGAACTTCATGTTATCAAAAACATGTATCTGTAAAACTTTGATAGACCTTACCGTATAGACCGAACAATACAACCTCTACAGAACCTGTGACCACAGCTTGTCTGCACTGGCTCTCGCAGCCCCAGAAGACAGATAGGACATTCATATTTGCTTTCCAACGGTGGATCAAAGTATTCGTCATATCCTTCAGACCTTGGTTCAACTTCAACAGATGGATACCTGAACTGGGTTGCTGCTGAACCTTCAAAACTTGGTTCAAATGAGCTATCACGAGGAAAAGGAGATGACTGCTCCTCTAAACGAAAACTACGATTCATAGTGATAAGTCCATTTTGCTGAATAGGAAAAAATTCGAACAGAGAACGGCGTCGTTTTTATAGAAAACGAAAGCGGGGAAATCCCGTATCCCATAATGCAATGGAAGATTCTTCTGAGGTCCATAACCTACTTTTGACCGTACCCTCCCCCGGCAAAGTGAAACAGAAGCGAGGAAACGTCATCGGAAATGTGATAGCTTTGATGTGGTGTTGATTTGTGTTGGGTTCATCGAAACAGAGAAACTTATGGGAAGACATTGAAGGATTGACAGTTGGTTAGGAAGTTTAAATCCAACTCAGCTTTGCAGGATTTCATCGAGAGCTTCTCAAGTTTCCGTAGATCAGCAGAGCACTTTACAGCCCGAAGAAACCGAGTTTTAAGTTTTTTTGATATTTTTCCTCTATCGGAATTGGTTTGTACATATGATAAGCTAAGTATGTAATGGCTGTTTATTGTTAACCCTCGCTTCCGTTTCACCTTGGTCGGGGAAGGGTACGGCTATACGTAGTACTGACGTCATGCTCTTGCGTGCTCTAAGCTTCCTTAGTAACATTGTTTTCAGTTTTGAAGACAATTAGGAAACACACAATCGAAAATGCTGACGTGTGCACTCTTGAGTGCTCGATTTTCCAAAGTCACACACTACAGTTATCGCCTCGTGTTAACTCTATAGTGTTGGCTCTGAAAACTCGTCCAATTAAGAATTTTGTGTTCAATCTCTCTATCGATCTCTGTCGCAAATGTTTTTTGCGCTGAGTGTTGTTTCCTTCAATCAAAGAAACGGCATCATGTACGCATTACCTGATCGACTTGTCAAGCTTTCTTCAAGTACTCTTCCTATCTGAAAGCCTGTATATGTTTATTTGCTGCTATCTGAAGTCATTTTTTATTTTTTGTAACGATCCTATTAACTTAACATTTACAGCGTATCACAGCGTACAAAGTATGTCCATGGTCAGTGGAATGAGATTGTCGCGTTGCCAAGTTTGAGGATCCGGCAAATGTTTCAGGAAGAAAGCAAACAACAACACCAACTTGTCCCTCGCACTTCGCAGAATTCCCCACATTTGCTGCTTGCACACTTTTCCACAGAAATTTTCTATCACAAGGATAACACACTAATCAAGATGGAGATGTAAACTGTCTACAATTAGACATAGCTTATAGGTTGTATGGCTTTGCGTAGCAAACACGCCCTCATTAAAGCCTTTCAGTAAAGTTTGGTTGGCACTAAATCGGTCACGACAAAACGCAGACTGCAGACCGTGCAGACTAACAACAAGAGTTGTTATGTCAATTTCATACTCAAAAGTGCCAGCTTTTTCAGCAGATTTTTAGTTAATTCTTAAAAGATTCTAGAAGTGAATACGCTCAGTCACCACCTACATCACCTATTGTGAGAACAAATTTTGTAAAAGCAAAGGGATTATGTTTAACGATACTGAAGATGAAATGGTACAGTGTATTAACGCTTCTTTTACCTCTGTATAATTATGTACCTCAAACTTTTCCTTTTCTACTGTTGTAAGTTACTTCTATTAACAGATATCTATCTGCTCAACTTATTTAAAACACAATTCATCATCACAGCATATCCATGGAATTATCTGTCTCTGTATTGACAAGTACTAGCAGTCTACCACAATTAATTTTAAAATTCTCTTCACAAAATATAAAATAAAATAAAAGCATTTACTCTTAAACAACTTCCACTAATTTTTTTGTTATCTATGGCATCATCAAGTGATGAACTGCTTCGTTATGTACACACTAGTGTCACAGCTCATTAACTGTATGAACATGTATCTGGAAAAGTCAAATATATCAATTTTCAATTCCAGACATCTTCAACCAATATGCTGAAGGCCATTTGTTTCCCCCCTCAAAAAGCAAAGCCACTGACTACTGCAATGCAGTGACACTTAAGCAACAGTTACCAAAGTGATCAAAGAAAAATCATACAAGGAACAAAATGAAAAAGCTTTGAAGAACACATCTGCTGTCCTTGTTGACCTAACAAGATCAATCAATGCTAAATTTTGGGAGGATAATGGGCAGATTACATAGAGGAGGAAGATACCTATATCTTTAACAATCTCAGAGTAAAAGGAATATTATTATACAAAAGAGAAAATAGTAAATACTACCCTCAGTGGTTTTGCTATAAAGTCAACAATCCCATTCACTGAAGAGATACAAATTACTGTTACCATTTTGCATGTGTTACTTGCAACAAAAAGATTTAAAATCAAGGCAACTAAAAGAATTGCCCATCCTTCAATGTCAAACAGAAACCCAAACAAGATAACAAGCAAAACTAGGTCAAGTTCTACATGAAAGATCAACAACAGAACAATTTATATTTGTCATTCTTCAACATACAATTCCGAAAGTTCATGCAGCATATCAACAAGAACCTGCTTCAAAGTACCTTTAATGAGGAAAGCATCACCAATGTACTAATTTCAGAACCTGGAAAAGAAACAAAATTCACCATTATAGTGAATGTTTTAAATGGTACAGTTCTTGATGTTCTTGATGCTCAGTTAAAAATTTCAAAACACCAAACAGTTAACAATATATGTTATTCATTACACTATAAACCTTACCAAGAAATTTTAAGATATTTAGAGAACATTACAATATGTGTTACTGATGCATTGCTTCAAATATCTAAAGATCAAACAAGAATTACTATCATACAATGTTAATATGTAGTATGTTTCAGTTCTCTGATGTTTCAAATACCCTATAGGGTATATCAAAGCAGTCCATGTTATTTGTTTATTTTCACCTTACCCAGAAATGTTATTTCATATATAGGATACTTAAGAAAGTATGTGCAATGCATTACTCAGGTACCTAATACTGGGCAGTTCAAAAGTACATACTGTAGTGCTTGCAGTGGACAATACAAGCTGGTTTTGTTTCAGTCCTATGGAAAAATCTCACTGGTTTGAATTGAGAATACTTATATTTTGTGTTACAAAAATTGCTTGGCACACAGATCTATTAACAGTAAATATTCTAGAACTAATTGTGAAATGACAGGCACAACAGCACATGCTTTTAATCACTTGCCCATTATGATTTATAATGAAAAGCAAAAAGTAAAACATTTTTTTAAAGGTAATCAATGGTGAACACTTCAACTCATCCCATTAAGTCACTATAATCTGCCACCCTAACAGTTCTGTAGTCTTTTATTTTCTAAATAACTTGAAACTTTAAGCTTTAAAGAGTTGCTCACAAGCATGGGAGAAATTTTAAGGATATTCAAGTCTAACGGAACAAATCGCATGGCTGCCAAACATCATTTTAGCTATTTATCCATCACCATATCAGATAAAGATCTTAATAGGCCTGCGAAACATAGTTAAGGGACATGTTATTTGTCTGTTTTTTCATGAAATTGTTGACTTTTTCACGCTTGACGTGTGCTCTAAACGAGTATTTTGCTCAAAATTGTTCAGAAAGCCGAAAATTGCTCGAAGTTGCCAGAGCCACAAAGACTTGCTCCAAATGCCAAGAGTCGCTCAAAAGTTGCTAATGCACAATCAGGAGAGGCCTAGAAATGACTACATTGAGGCTATTTTAACACGGATCACTCTCACTTGCACATTAGATATTCATGAGTATGAATTTCAACAAATAATTAAATGATAACATAGAATAATATTACCAATGATAAAAATAATGAAAACAATAAAAATATAATAATAATTTAAAGACGCTGGTTTGAAAGCTTCGTGGTCCCCCAATCCTCATGGCTTCATCAATATTTCACCAGTTAATTATAAATAATATCACTTATTGCAACTCCAATTTTTAAGACATTTTTTTAATACTAAAATGCTTTCCGCGGTGTTGGATATTCCATCATTTCCCTTCGTAAGATATCCCGCCATTCCACCAGTGCACCGTTCCTCCCTTCCATCATTCCGTTGAATATCAGAAGGTATCGTATTTCGCAGCTTTCTCGCTTTGCAATTTTGATGGCTCTTTCCGGCATAAGTCGTTGATTCAAACGGTAAAATGCTCTTTTTTCAAATAAAAAATTCTTAAAGCTTCCACGATGTGCAGACCGTGTTAATGAGAATTCCTTTAAGGAAAAGTTTTGATTTAAATTATGCGTCAATGGGATGTTATCGTCTTATGCAGTGTCAAGGCAGCAACTGAGAAGATTATATCATCGGATCTACATAATTTGCTGATTTAAATGGTAAAATGCTCTTTCTTCGAAGAAAAAAATTTTCCTGTGAGTTTCATGAAGAGCCGATCACATCTATTAAGATAGTTCTGCAACGAAAATTTTTGTTTCCAATCACGCGCAATCCTGAGACGATTGGGAGATGTTTATCGTCTTCTGCTGTCTTTCGTTGTGTTACGGCAATAAAGAAAAACCAGAAATCACAAAAGGAGAGATCTCAACTGTATATTGAGTGCGAATGTCGAACTACTAAGATGGAAACATTGGGTCAAAATTGGGTCAAGATTGGAATTCTGTTGTTACACTCTCAATCATTTCTGCAAAACATGTGGCTTCGCCACATGTAGGACGCAGTAACCATAAAATGGAATGTTTACAAAACCTCTCAAATGAAATGTGAGAAAATAATGCTCGGGCCTTGACCTCAAATATTCCATGCATTGTATACTTGTGCTATTTTAGGATTTTAAGATTTTAGGGAAAAACGTAGTTGCTAAAACAAGGAATGACCTGAACTGACCCAAAGTGAGCTGAAATGACCTGTAATGACCATGAGTGATGTTTTAAATGGCCTTACGTGATTTCTAAAATGACCTAAAATGACCTTGAGTGATTACTAAAATGACCTCAAATTACCTTAAATGATCTTGCGTGATTTCTAAAATGACCTAAAATGACCTTAAATGACCTTGCGTGATTTCTAAAATGACCATAAATTACCTTGAGTGATTACTTAAATGACATAAAATGACCTTGCGTGATTTCTAGAATGACCTAAAATGACCTTAAATGACCTTAAATGACCTTAAATGACCTTGCGTGATTTC